TGGATTCTTTTAGCAMTTTCTGAATGGCAATAAGTACATTTATTTCTCAGAAGCGTGCAGGAGCTCCTGGAGGAGCCCATTCACCAGCTAAGGCTGAGATGGATTAGGATCCTCATTCTCACTGGTACTTGAACAGAAGCATTTGCAGAAGAAAATTACAAGCTTTGGAACAGGTTTAACACTTTGAATAGAACATGTTTCTCCCTATTTTGTGAAATGGAATTATGGTGTGACAAGAGGAAATCACTCAACTATGTCAAAAGACAGGAAAAACAGAACTCTGTTTCCCCTCATTTGCCTGCTAACACTGTCCTAATCCAGAGGCAAGTGAGGTACACAAATCCAAACAATTAACAGGAGTCAATAAAGCAAATTTGTATTTTTCCTGCTTTTTTTTTTCACACAAATAAAACCACAAGTAGGAAAAATACAGAAACAGTCTCAAGTAATTTATCTGAAGTTTGATAACCCAATTTATCTGAACTTTGATAACCCAATATCATCGTTTGTGGGCAAGAATTAGGTGTGCTCTCCTGGATTTCAGCTGACYTGCATTCCCCTTTGGGCTGTGTGCAGGAAGATGAAATTTGAGTAAATGCAGCCAATTTCCTTCCTCATATTTGTACTTTATACACTTCATCTTATGACAAGGGATGAAATTCTCATTGGAATACCTGATCAGGACCATTTCCAGTCCGTGTCTGGTTGCAGGATTYACAAATCCCATAACCAGAGGGTTCTGTGCCTTTATCAGAGGTTGTGAGGCCGTGGCTGCTCTACAGAAATGATAAATTCAGAGAGGAAAAAGCTCTTTAAACAGTCCAAGGCTCAGTTTCTCATGAACTTAACACACAAACGCAAATCCAAAAGACACTTTTGTTCTTAATTCCCTTTGAAATAACCCTGTGCTGGGTTACCTCTAAAAGTTTTGCTTGCTAAACTTGCACACCAGCACTGCTGGCACTGCTGCAGGATTCCAGAATATTCCTGCTGTGCCAAGGAAGGCRTGAGTTATCGTGGAACAACTGGTGTGGAGCCTGTGGTCCTTGAAGAGAAAACTGAGAAAACATCAGGAAAAATTCTCCTTTATTTAGTTCTCTGCTCAGATCAGCCCCCAGAGCCGCCTTCAGTGTGGCGATTTCAGGAAAGATTTCATTTTTGTGGTTATTCAACACAAATAATCTGTAATTACATCCAAATTTAGGCTTAGACTTAGCAAAACCATGAAATTTTTACCTCTCCCCAGTAAGACAGGACTGTCATGCACGAGCTGTAAAATCCCTGTGAACAGAAGGACTTCAGGCTACTCCGAACTGTTCCTGCAAACTTAATTATCTTCCTTCAATGCACTCATCCTAAGAGAAACCTGAAAATGCCAAAACTGTCAACAGACTTTAAAAAGAAAAAAAACCTAACAGAAAATCCTTAAAATCAGTGATTTTTCCAAGTTGCCTGATTTGAAAGGCTAAGGAATAATGAAGCTGCTAATTAGACTAAGCAAAAGATGATACACATGTTCTARTATGTGCAATAATTAACCAGCTCGATTCAATGGCATTAATTCAATGTTTTGGCACAGCCTAATAAATAGCCCTGGACTGCCAAAAGCTGAACTTCTTTTCCAACTGAAATTAATAAAGCTCTCTGGATGCATACATGTTTTTGGAGACAAAAATAATGTATGTGCCAGGTTSCTCATTCCACTGAGATGGAATTTCTCTTCATCTCTTTMCATTCTATTCCATTCCATTCTCCATCTACTCAAGCATCAGTACATTTATAAAATGAAGATTTTAGAATAATCACCTTCGAATACCCTATTGCAGTTGTAGTTTTGTCAGGTGCTTAATAAAGGAATATGTTAGAAAAATTATAGGGGAAAAAAAAATTTGTTTGGTAGTTGTGTCCCATACATTATTTTTTTAAAATAAAAAAGTAAATATAAAAATAAATTCCTGCAGATGTTACAAATATGTTGACCATGGGTGACTTTATTCTGCCTTCTGGTGGAAAACCCACCCTGCCTGAATTGTATCTTTGCAGAAACTTCAGAAAAAGTTTCTAATCTTTATTTCTCCTTGAAATTTCTCCACAGCACAAGGCCTTCTTCACAAGTTAAATGCCTGTGAATTAACAGTACTTTTAATTACTTGAGATACAATCTCYATTGGAGCATTCTTTTCATTTCCCATTCATTTTTCATCCTTGCATTATCAGACTTCCTTCCCACTAGACTGTTTRTATTTTAATTCATGCAGGCTTTAACAATATACTGACTCCAATACTGTCCTAATTAAATTAAATTTACTTCCAGATTTGAACAGCAGCCCATGTTGACCTAAAAACATATTCCTTTTTCTTGTTTCTAGTATGTTTTACCCTCTATAAAAAAGTTCTTTTTCCCCAGACCCTGCTACTTCTTCAGATTCAGCCTCTGTGCCACAAGTCCTGCAATTGATATCCCAATTAATATTTCAGCTGTAATAAAGTTACAGCCCAAGTCCAARTGATTCCCACTTTTCAGTCCCTAGATTATTTATTTAGGTCACTTGAAATAAATAATTGCAGAGCAGTTTCTGACCACCATAGCAAGAAAGGACCTCGATGTTCCAGGTCAGATTTTTTTCCCCCACAGCCATCATTCCCAATTTCCTTCATAATTAAAACACAACTCAAAAATGTCTTTCCAGAATGGTCAAAGAACTGAAGCTGAAAGTAAAGCTCACCTAGGATTGTTCATTTCACAGCACATGAATTCATCCCTCAGCAATCCCCAGACAGTGCCTGCACTTTCCTTCCTACAGAGAAACCTCCTCTCACATTTTGCACTCTGATTTTACCCTTTCATCAGTGAGATTATTTTATCAGTTGAAATTATTTAACTTTCAGGTAAAATACATGCACTTCTATGTCACCATATTGCATGGGTGTACAGAATACTCATTATAGCCCCTTTTGAAATCACGTTCAAAATAAGATGTTTCCTCTGKTTTTTTCAGACTAGCTGGTCTAAAAATCCATATCAGTGAGCAGTTCCAAGTCACATTTTTTTTCTGGTCACTTGTCCAGCGCTCAGTGCAACAATCTATTAATTTTTCAAGAGTTGCCAGAGAATAAGAATACAATTGTGATATTTTTAGAAGTGCATTTCAGTTAATGAAGGCAACATCAGGTCTCCTCTCATTCAGCTATTGCCATTATTTAAAATAATTAAAGTGAGATTCTTAATAATCCTTTTTAATTACTTGGATCCAAATCCTAATAATTTAGTTCCGATTTAAAATAGATATTACACTGAGTCTGGTAAAACTTCTATGTGATCCTGCAAGAATTGAAGRATGTGATGTGCACAGAGCCAAGGAGAAATGTCAGGAGCAGGAGAACACCCCCAAGAGCAGAGCTGCGGGCAGCAGACTCACTCAGCAGAAAGCACACGGAACAGGCAGGGACAGAAAAATTTAGAAGCAGGAAAAAAAAAAGGAAAAAGGCATTTTAGAGCCAGAGTGAGAAAGGAAAGGTAAGGGCTGAAAGGCAGGAGGCGAAATAAATGATACCAGGAGCTGGAAAATCCCCATCCTGCCTCAAAAAAAAAAAAGTAAGGTCATGAGACAGCACAGCGAGAGCTGCACTATTGACCAGCAGCAAGAAGTACATTTTCTGTGCTTAAAAAAGGAAAAAAACCATAATGGAAGAGTCAGCAGGGCCCTCCTCAGGGACGCTCTTGACTGAAGGGAGATGTTCCTGCAGAGGAAACTTCTCGGGGCTGCTGTTCCTGAGGAGGGTCAGGGCACGGTGTGCTCTGCTCGCCAGGTCACACAACGTGACATCGGACACTGTGCTGGCTCCTCTGCAGTGGAACACAAAGTTTTGTGGGAAAAACTCTGGAGTTTGGGATCAGATGTTCCCAAAAGGCAGCTGGCTGTTGGGTTCTGCCACGCACACCTGKCCCTGAAGCGTTGCCCTGCTCTGACAAAGGAGTGATTTCATTTGCAGGGGCAGATCTCAAACCTGAGTGTATTTTGTCATTCCAAGTGCAGGCAGGAAGAAAATGAATAATAAGAGGTATTTAACAATGGGTTTTTCTCCTCATATCAGGTGCATGTTACCCCACTTGTTTCCTATCTCACTCCTAAGTGCCAGTTTYCCTCTTGGAGACAATTTATCAAAATCCTACAGGATAACCCAGTTATGCAAAAGCAGAATTCCCGACAAAGATGTGACGTACTATGATTGCCATGTATCACTTGCTTATGTAATTTTACAACTTTGCTTTTTAATATTTGTTATATTCTTTCACCTGTTACCTACACGAACAGAAGTTATTTTTTTCTTCAGAATTAAGTTAAACGTCACATTTTATTGGGTGGTAGGAATAAAATAGCAGAGGAAAAGATAAATTTTTTTATATTAAATACCTTTTAAGAGGTTAACTGAATTAGTAATCTAATAATTAATAATGTGAACAAACAATGTCCTTCCAAAGTCTTGCAGATCACTAAAAAAACCTCAAACCCAAGTTTTAGTCAACACACGTGTCTGTAATTTAGATAAAGTCAATTTTACCACTCCACTCTCATCTTAAAGCTCATTTTAAACAATCTTCCAGTCTAATTAGCTTTACCTTCTGGCTCTGCAGTACCATCCCTTTGAATGCTGGCATGGTTAAACCACTCAGGTCTACTTGGTTCAGCGCAGTGTGGCAAATGTCAGTGAAATAGGAGGGCATATGGCCTGTAATTACAGAACCATATGGATGCCAGGAGTGATAGTCAACAGCATCTGAACGCAGCACTGAGAACGTCAGAGCAAAAGCAACCAAAGGCCATCATACATAATCATTAAATGGATAAATAKAGTCTGTGTGCAGCTGAGAGAAGCCAGGACATGTCTGTCCTTTGGTGGCTGAGCGTGTCGGTGTGGAGGAAACAGCATTTTTTTGGTTTGGTTTGTGAATTTCTAAACGCAGAAAATGGAGCTGAGTGATGCAAGGAAGCTCTTACCAACGCACAGAGAAGATCCACCGCTTCCAGGATGAGCTCCTGGTGGCCGATGCGGGTGACCCCCAGCTCCTCCAGCTCCTGGTGGGTGATGTGCAGCAGCTGCTCCCCGTTGATCTTCTCCCGCTCAAAGTTCTTGATGTATTGTTGGAGGCAGTCATCGAGGCCTGGTTGGAAAACGACACAGATTCAGAGAATGGAGGAGGAAAAAAAAACAACCAAACCAAGCTCTATAATTCACAAATGAATTTTCTGTAATCCACAAATGCAGAAATTTCTTGGAAGTGCAAGCGTACTTCCTTGTTTGGAGCTATTATGGAAAAACATAATTTAACTTACATAATACAGCACCTGCTGCTCAAGAGAAAAGTTTACATTGCTGACGTTATTTTCAAMGTTCTTAAATATTTTAACAAAAATTCTAAACCTTCACGGAGACGAGGGAAGGACAAAGCAGGACAGAGAGTGGCTTTATAGAAAACCTTTTTCTYGTGATGTCACAAAGACCTAAATATAAGTTTATCTGATGATTGGGAACAAATTCTTCCCGTAACTCTTGTAGGACTCTCCAAGGCCATAAAGTTTGGCTGTTCCTGATGAGRAACAGTTTTTCAGTAGCTGCCCACACCAACTCTGCTGCACCCATTGCCAATTCGCCCCCCAGATTATCCATTTTCTGATACATAACACATAAATGGTTTTGTTACAACACTTGCAACTAAGAATACAATTCTGCCCATGCACAAAGAATTGCTCCATTTTCCCCTGAAACTTGATAAGGGGAGAATAACAGATTGTTTCCMAGACCAGAGAAGAAACTGATTAACAACGTTGAAAGATTTTTCCTTCCTCCAAATCTGTTTCTGAAGCACACGTGCCTTGAATTTCCAGCCAGAACAATTAGCTGGACACGAGGATCCACTGCTAAAAGCTACGTGAGGTCCCTCAGAGTTCCCTCAAGGACTGTCAGACTCAACAGAATCCTGACRTGCGCATGATTTCCTAGACCTACAAAATTCACCTTCAATAACTTCATCTCCCAAGCGCAGTAAAACGCTGATTCTCAGTTWTTTGTCCTGCAGTGACGCAAGTAAATCCAAATCCAGAAAATTATGGTCCAGAAACCACAGAAATAATCGACTTGGGCATTAAGACAGAACTCTGGGAGGCAATTTCTGCACAGAGCWGTTATCAAATACACATCAGGTTTCCAGGGTGTCTGAGAAAAAGAGTTCTGACAGCTTGTCCTGGGTGTCACCTGCTTACACCTCAACTGACACAATCCATTCTGGACAAAAGGACTGTGATGGCATGAGAATGGAATCAAACAAACCAAAGTGTTTGTCCTCAGTGCAGRAACACCAGGGGACGTGTTGCAGTTTCATTTAATTAACTCCTCTTTCCTACATGATCCGATTATTTGCTCTGTGAACTGATGGTCCTGTGTTGTAGATAAAGCTCATTTACCAAGAAAAGTGCACAGCTTTATATTCACTTATACCTACATCCCATACAAAGCTGGAACAGTGATAAAAATGTCATGTTTTATGTTGTAATTCAAAAGTATRAGGTAGTTTGGGGGGGTTTTAAAGCTCAGATCAGCAGTCTGGAACTAATACCTAAATCTTTTCTCTGTTCTAGAATGGTCTGCAAATAGGAAACTATTTCTCTGCATCTGTTCATTATTTTTAATGATCTCATGAATGATTTTACATAAGTATARTTCAGTTCAATTGCCTGAAAGATGGTCACTGCAAAACCTCTGTTTGTTATTTAACATTTTACACTCCAAGCTGTTGCACATTTCTGTCCCTGCTTGGTAAAGACCAATTCCTAAAACTATTCCAGAGCAAAAATTCCAAACCCCACACATTCCAGATTTGCTTTGGGAGAAATTGCCCCAAAACTCAGAAGAAGTCACAAAACTGCTGCTAGATATTAAATTATTTTGAAAAAGGCAAATTAATTAAAATATTTAGAACCAGTGGACACAACAAGCATTTGCAGTATTAAGAGAGATTTAGGAAAACCCAGCTGAACGTTCCACGCTGTGAAAACTGTGCAGTCAGATGTATTAAACCTGCCTTTGTGCCAGGGAGAGTGTATGACAGCARAGCAAAATATCAAATTTGTATTATTTGTGCTGCTCTGTAATAGCTCCCCAGGGCACCTTTAGAAGGCTTTTACTTACTGGTGCAAACAGTGTGGCAGTTGACAGGAGAATATCGAAATATATCATTAAAGGGCCAGCCTGTCTCACAGAATGACAGCAGTTAATAAATATACACAAAAAAATAGAGAGGTTTGCCCATTTCTCTCTGCTTTTCTGTCTCTCTGGGAGCCAGGTACTGAAGTGTGAGATGCTCCAGAGCAGGAATTCCTCATCAGGAGCCTCTTCTTTATCACCAGGGCTCCGATTGTTTTTAGCATGAAAACATCCAAGATGAAATCAGAAAGGGCACAGAATGAGACCGTGTTGACTCACCAAAAGCAAATGAAATATTTATTTTCTCAAACCACTCAGGCCTCATTAGTGCTCTTTATGCATTTTTCCCAATATMATTTCTGTTTRCAGAGAAGKATTAAATCGGTTCAGATTCATAACWAMAAAGAAGGAAGGGGCCTTAGCTCTGCTTAGATGGAGGTAAATAAAATCACCCCATTATTCCCAATTTCCTGATACACAGTATCAGGAAAGAAACAGAAATCTGCAGCTCTGTCACTGCACATTCTTACTYTATTTGTGCACATGCTGTAGCTAATCAACATCTCCTTCAGAGTGCAATAAAATGATTCAAGAAAAGGAGTTTGAACACGTTTTACTTTAAAGCCAATGCTTGATGAGAAAATTATCACTGGGGAGTTGAAGAATTTTTATTTCTCCAACCCAYCTGGGCTCAAGGAGTTAACTCACTCTAACAGAAAATCAATGAAMGTTGAAGACATTTACTCATCTTTCAGCATTATTTAAGAGGACAACCCAAGAAAAAAGGAGTTATCCCTCAGCCCAAGTGCTGACTGAGCTCAGCTCTGGCTGAACATTGCATTAAAAACTGTGCAAATCCTTGTGCTCAGAAAAATGGCCTTGTGGAGGGAAATCAGGGAAAACACCCCATAAACCACATCCACCTGAAAACTCAGACATTTTCCCCATATATGGTTGGACTCYATRATCTCAAAGATCTTTYCCAAYCTAAATATTCTATGATTGCATATTGTCTCTGTCCATTTAAAAGTAAAAATAATCATGTTTGATCTACATGGACCAGGAAAGCTTTATCTCTATATTCAAAGAGCAGAGGAAAAAGAAGCAGCTCTGATATGTTGACCTCAAACTGCRATTTTGCAAATAAAGCATTTAAAGTCAAAATCAAGGAAACATGAAAAAGAAAGGAGGTGGAAAATTGTTGGGGAGAAAGGGCAGGAAAAGAAGAGCAGATCAGCTTGAAAGTATTTCTTTTTAGAAATGTATAATTTGGGGGGAAAAAAAAAAGGAATCATTGGAACAGAAAAGTAAAACAAGATCTTAAAAACATCTCTAAATCAGATTTAGGCATTAACTCAGAGCAAACATTACAAAGGAGATGTCACATATTGTGGGCAATAAGGTTCACTGAGATTAAAACGAATCTTTCMGTCGGTGTCAACAAATGCCAGGTTTGGTTTCCATTAAAAGCACAAACATTGTTGATGTGTTWTGTAAAGATCTGTCCCTYTCTCTCTGCCTGTAGACAGARATATTGAAAATATTGCCATTATTGAAAAAATAACATTAAATAAATGGACAGCCTTTTATGCAGGAATGATGCAGATGGGGCAGCTCTCACAGGAGAACAAGAACTTTGTCAAGGGTGATCCATCCCAGAAGGAATTCCTAAGTTTAAAATTTTATAACTTCCAATTTCTCATAACTCTCTCCATAACTTACATTTATTATTTTACATTTATTCCCTTCTCCATTTACATACGTTCTAATGGCTTCTTGCTACTTATTGGAAATTATGCCAGTTTTGTAATCCCTCCTAAAAATTCCTGACCAAATAAATGATGGGCTTGCTGCTGCTGCTGCAGGAGAATTCCCAGGGGGAAATGCAGGAAGGAAACCCTGGCTGTGAAAAGGAGGGGTTATGGACAGGGCAGGGCAGGTTCTGCCAGCTCTGCCTGGCACAGACCCAGCAGCTCCCACAGGGTGAATCTCCTGCAGATGAGGGGATGCAAAACCAGACCCCCTGATTGCAAAATGCAACATTTTAGGATGCAAACTTGCAGGTTTTAGGATGAAAAAGAAGGAAAGCAGCTTGGTGGGAATGCATGGACCACTCCTGGCTTTGGCATTGCTGCAAGAGATGCCAGAGCCCATTGGCAAAATTGCTCTGATTGAGGGTCTGACAAAGTATTTATTCTTTCCTAAGAATATTAAAAGTATTTATTCTTTCCTAATTAAAACCATATTTAGAAACTAAAAGCACACAGCACAACACTAAACTCCCAGCTGCACAAAGGTTTATACCCAACTCAGAATCTGTGGGACCTGGATCCAAAGGACAAAACCTGGAAGTCGATGGGATGATCTCTTAATTCAGAATGATTGCATTTCAGCCTGCCAAGACAAATTAATAACCCATTAATGTGCCTCAATTGGCTAATAAAAGCTACACAACAACGTTATCTCTGTGGCTGCAGRATGGTGACTTGTGAAAAATCAGTGAATCGAAGTGAAACAGGGACAAATATCAATTTTCAAATGTCATCGTGCTGTTGTTTCTGGACTTGTGAGTCCAGAAAATCAGCTCTTCTCTCTTAGGAAATATAAAATCTCTCACTGCTGTGCTGGAAATTCTCTGATTAATTGGGGAAGGCAGCAGGAACTTCTGCTCCTGTCACAACCTTCAGTTTATCYATGCAGATCTGCTTAAATACATCCAGCACTTAACAGCATCTGCAGGCTCAGTCCAAGAGTAATTTTTACAGAAAGAAAAAAAAAAGTTGAGCTTGGTGGTTTTTTTTAAAAAAAAAACAAGGTATATTTTTAATATAATTTCCCATATAAAGCAATATTTAGCAGCTAGATAGAAAGATCTGGAAGGAATTGACTGGTTGGCTGACAGAGAGACTGATGRAGAGAATTCCTGCCTTTTCCTAAATGCAATTTTATTGAATACACAGA